ATCATGGTTGCTCAGCCTCCACCACATCACTGCCAAGTGCCTTCCGCTTCTTAACAACACAGGATTAATGACTCGCCCGAAACGCTACGCGTCCTAGTGGCTGTACAAGAATGTAAGAACTCTTGTATATATAAACATAAATAAATAGAGGACATAGGTTTCCACACGTGTCCCCTTGTGCGTGTGCCCCGTGTTGAATAAATTGTCTTTATTTACCTTATTAATCCCTCTGAGAATCTTGTATGTGGTGATCATGTTCCCCCCTAACTCGTCTGTCTTCCAGCGACGTGAGGTTTAGTTCAAGTAGTCTCTCCTCGTAGCTCATACCCTTCAGTTCGGGTACTAGTCTGGGGGTATGCCTTTTAACCTTCTCTAATTTAGTATTTTGTTTAGATACGTACACCACGCTGGAGCTGCATACTCCAGGATTGGTCTGACATATGTGGCATACAAGGTTTAATGATGCCTTACACAAGTTTCTAAAGGCGGTTATTATTATGGCCCACTTAGCTTATGCCGCTGATGATATCCTCTAGATGTAGGTTTCATGGGACAGGTCTGGTGTGATATCAACTCTTCTCAATGTCTTAATCCTTATCATAATTCTGGCATCATCAGCAAACATGAGGAATGAGTCTATACCTTCTGGAAGATCAATTATCTATATCAGAAACAAGATAGGCCGGAGTACAGAACCCTTTAGGACTCCGCTGGTGACATCACGCCGTTCTGAGGTCTCACCCCTCACAGTAACTCTTTGCTTCCTATTGCTTAGGTACTCCCTTATCCACTGGAGCACCTTACCAGTCACTCCTGCCTGTTTCTACAATTTATGCATCAGCCTCTTATGCGGTACTGTGTCAAAGGCTTTCTGACAATCTAAGAAAATGCGGTCTGCCCAGCCTTCTCTTTCTTCCTTAATCTTTGTCATCTTTCCGTGAGAGTTACTCATGATGAGCAGGTGAACCCAAGGTGCATTAAGGTGCATTACCTTAATTGGTGCCTCTGGTACACACAACGGGCCTCGTGGTTGAGTGGACAGCGCTCCGGGGGGGTCATAGTCCGAATGGTCCGGGTTGTTGACAGGCGGAAACAAATGAGCAGAGTTTCTTTCACCCTGATCCTTCAGTTCACCTAGCAGTAAATAGGTACCTGGGAGTTAGGCAGCTACTACAGGCTGCTTCCTGGGGATTGTGTGTGTGTATTCACCTAGTTGTGCTTGCGGGGGTTGAGCTCTGCTCTTTCGGCCCGCCTCTCAATTGTCAATCAATCAACTGTTACTTTTGATACTAACTACTAATTTTTCACACACCCACCCACCCACCCAGGAAGCAGCCCGTAGCAGCTGTCTAACTCCCAGGTACCTATTTACTGCTAGGTGAACAGGAACATCAGGGTGAAAGAAACTCTGCCCATTTGTTTCCGCTTCCGCCGGGGACCGAACCCGGAACCTTAGGACTACGAATCTCGAGTGCTGTCCACTCAGCCGTCAAGCTCCCTCACACGCATCCCTTGCAAAGTACTTGAAAAAATTATAAGGTTAAGACTAGTTGCACACCTTTAAAGAATTAAGTTATTAAATAAACAACAACACAGTTTTAGAGCAGGGAAATCATGCCTGACGAACCTCCTGGAGTTTTGTGATAAGGTAACGAAAATAAGGCAAGACAGAGAAGGATGGGTAGAGTGCATATTTCTGGATTGCCAAAAAGCCTTTGATACAGTACCACACAGAAGGCTACTATGCAAACTTGAGAGGCAGGCGGGAGTAGACGGAAATGCACTATCATGGATAAGGAATTACCTGCCAGACAGGTGTCAGAGAGTGACAGTGAGGGGCGAGGAGTGGGACTGGCGTAGAGTAACAAGCGGGGTGCCTCAAGGATCACTCCTGGGTCCCATTCTATTCCTAATTTATGTAAATGACTTGACTGCAGGAGTTGAGTCTTTTATGTCAATGTTTGCAGATGATGCAAAACTATTGAGAAGGGTTGAGACAGATGAGGATTGTAAGATTCTCCAGGATGACTTGAACAGGTTGCAGAGACGTTCCGAGAAATGGCTGCTAGATTTCAACACTAACAACTGCAAGGTGTGATGGGAATGGGGAGAGGAACCAGGAGACCGAAAGGCCAATATACGATGAAGGGGAACATACGTCCCTATAACGGCTAGAGAAAAAGACCTGGGAGTGGACATAACACCAAACCTAACTCCAGAGGCTCATATAAATAGTCGTATACTCTACTCTGGCAAAAGTCAGAACATCCTTCAGAAACTTGAATAAGGAGGCTTTTAGATCACTGTATACCACCTATGTGAGGCCAGTCTTAGAGTATGCCGCACCATCTTGGAAACCTCCCCCCACCCCCTCCCCATCTAAAAAAAAACACATAAGGAAGCTCGAAAAGGTGCAGAAGTTTGCAGCGAGACTGGTCCCAGAGCTGCGAGGGATGAGGTACGAAGACAGACTGAAGGAACTAAACCTGACGACGCTAGAAAGAAGGAGGGAGAGCGGGGACATGATACAGACGTATAAAATACTTAGAGGGATTAACAAGGTGGAAAGAGGAAATGTTTACAATGAATATCAATTGAACAAAGAGACACGGATGGAAGCTTGAGACTCGGATGTGTCATAGAGATGTTAGGAAGTTATATTTTATTGTAAGAGTAGTGAGTAAATGGAGTGACTTAAAGAAGTAGATTGTAGAGCCTAACTCCATTCATACCTCTATAAGCAGTATCATAGAGAACTAGGTCACGAGTCATTAGAGAACCAACGGCTAGGAAAGCGTGGTCCAAGAACAAGAGCTCGATCCTGCAGGCACAAATAGGTGAGCAGAAACAGGTTAATCCTCTCACACAGCCGCGCGTCACGGACGATCCTGACCCTTGTGATCACTGAGGCTGTGATGACACAGACAATAATGTGAGGCAGAGATGTTGGCAACAGTTCACGTGTTGGGTATCAGGATGAGTGAATAGTGACATACCAGACTCCTGGCACTCCTGGCACTCTGGTGGAGAGTGCCACCCCACCCTACCGCCTCCACCCTCCGCCTCCACCACTTCACTTCCTAATGCATTACATTTACTACACGCGGTATATCGGTTAATATATCGCGTGTCCACACACACACACACACACACACACACACACACACACACACACACACACACACACACACACACACACACACACACACACACACACACCAGTAGTGGAAAAATGGAATGCACTTGGGGAACAGGTTGTGGAAGCAAACTCTATTCATACTTTTAAAATTAGGTATGATAGGGAAATGGGACAAGAGTCATTGCTGTAAACAACCGATGGCTGGAAAGGCGGGATCCAAGAGCCAATGCTCGATCCTGCAAGCACAAATAGGTGAGTACAGAGAGAGAGAGAGAGAGAGAGAGAGAGAGAGAGAGAGAGAGAGAGAGAGAGAGAGAGAGAGAGAGAGAGAGAGAGAGAGGGAGGGAGAGAGAGAGAGAGGGGGGAGAGAGAGAGAGAGAGAGGGGGGGAGAGAGAGAGAGAGAGATAAACCCATAATATCGCCTATCGGTCGATGCCATTAATACCAAGACAATATCCAGTGGAAAGTTCACCAAAGACATATCCTCGGGAACACTGGGGGGAAACACCTTTGATAAGCCCCCGGCTTCCTGTCTCCGTTGAAGTCACTAGAGATGGTGGTACTCAGGTAAACTGAAGCCATGGCAGCAGATCATGAGTTTACCGTTCCTCCAGGTATACACACGGACACAAACATTTTGTATTGGAGTAAGACTAATTTAGAAGGCGTCACTCACAGTGGATAGGTAAGAGCCCATGGAGTATTGACAGTTATTTCTGCTGGTGTTGGATGTGGGTGATATGAGGTGAAGAGTGTGAGCGCCGGTAAGGGTGAGAGTTGCCTTGATGTGGAGCGACTCATCACCTCTAGTGCTCCACCGAGGGAGCCCGAGGGAGCCCGAGGGAGCCGGTCGGTCGAGCGGACAGCACGCTGGGCTTGTGATCTTGTGGTCCTGGGTTCGATCCCAGGCGCCGGCGAGAAACAATGGGCAGAGTTTCTTTCACCCTATGCCCTTGTTACCTAACAGTAAGATAGGTACCAGGGTGTTAGTCAGCTGTCACGGGCTACTTCCTGGGGGTGGAGGCCTGGTCGAGGACCGGGCCGCGGGGACACTAAAGCCCCGAAATCATCTCAAGATAACCCTGGAGTTGTAGTTGTTGCACACTTTGGTGTCAATATGTAAATTATTAATACAGAGAGAGTACATTATCCAGTGATAATTTGTTGATTAACTACCGATAAGGAGGAGAGTAACCGACGCTCTTGACTGACAGCTACAGTGTTGGGTAAGTCATGGCATGTTGCCTCCACAACTGCCAAACGTTACGCTATTGCTCTACTCTCTCAACAAACGTTTCCTGACCTCACTTTGCTAAACTGAACCTAACCTAACCTTCTGTGTGTGTGTGTGGGGGGGGGGGGGTGGAATGTTGTTGTTGTTTTAGATTTAGCTACTCAGAACGAATTGTCCATGTAGCACGGGCTATGGTGAGCCCGTAACTCCAAGGGGGGGATATGACGTCACAGTTTATAGTTTATAACTCTCGTAGCCCCAGACCCCCTCCCGCCCCCTAGACACCCGCTACACGACCTCAGCCCCTCCCAAGTCACCCCCATTCCCCCCCCCCCCCCCCCCCACCATCGTCAAACTCCGCCCACCGCATCACACCACCCATGACGTCACCATGTCACCCCCCCAGCCCCCCCGTAACTCTTGCTTAACCACCATTAACCGTCATCTAGCGCCATTTATTACTAAAAAATACTCCATTGAGCTACTGTTAATAAAGGTTGTATACATATATCTTAGTATAAGAGGTGTAGAGTGCGGGTAGCGGGTGTTGCTAGCGAGGTGCGGCGAGAGTAAACCCGCGGCGGTAACCGCAGCAGAGTGTGGCCGGGGCGGCGGGGGATAAAAGCCGCGGCCACGTGGACCGCAGGTTACACACAACCTGACCAGCGGAGGGTGTGTGTCGCTGCTCTCCTCAAAAGTCTTTCACTGAAAGTTCCCGCTTTCGAACAACTTGCGTTGCTGGAAGCCTATTATTTTTCTCTCTCAGGGACTTGCTATCGTCAACATATGTTATTTTAATACGTTTTAAAGGGCGTAAGGAAGGAAAATGAATTTATTAAATGTATTCATGAGTGCAGTTGGTTGTCTGCTATCGTGTTTGACAGTGGCCGGCCACAGAGTGCCCAACTTTGTGGCCCAAGACGACTTGAGTGATGGGCAGCACGAGATCAGAATACACTACAATGGTGTCAACGCCAAGCAGACGTCTGTTGGTCGGGAACAAGGCAGTAACAGGTAAACCATCATCTTCCTTGTCAGTGTCTCGCTCATAAACCTAATGGTTTAAACATTCCTCTCGGTTTTAAGATACTTTGATTAATATTAGAGGTAGGAATATTATTGCTCAGTTTACTAGTTGAACGTACGTGTTAAGAGATAGAGTAGCTCCGTCACTTGAAAGTAAAGGTAGTTTTTAATTAAGATCAACGCCTGCATAATAAATTACAAATTTAGCTCATTTATATTATTGCACTGGAAGGGACTGTGCCTGTCCTCGGTACAATGGTTGGGTAGTCGGTTAAGTCAGAGTTGTTCTGTTGCATGGTTTTATGGTTAGTTGTCTGTATAGTGAGTGTGCATGATCCACTAGACTATTCATCATCCCTGGGGATGCTTGTCCAGTAGCCCCTAGTATGTGGGATCGGCGCTCCTGCCATGTGGAGTTTGTTGCCCCCACTATGTGGGTTTGTCATGGTGTGGGTTGGTGGCCCAAGGCGGCTGCCTTCTTTTTTTTTGGGGGGTGGGGGGGGGGGTCGTCAGCAACCGCCTTCCAAAGTGTGTGCTGAGCTTCTCCATTAACATTAGCAGAGCGTGTGTGTGTTTCCACCGGTTTATGTAAAAGTTGTTGAAATGTTTATAACATTCATTAAGTGTTAAAATGATTAAAGAATGTCAACACCAGGCCAGGTGAGCCCCACTCGCCCGCGGTCAAGGTGTGCTGGCGAGACAGTTCTCCCGCGCTGGAGCAAACGTTTGACCACCTTTCCTTTCACCTGCTGTCTCTGTTCACTTAATAGTGAATAAGTACAAGGAAGTTGGGCAACTGGTGTAGGTTGCATCCTTGAAAAAGGTCACTAGAATATTTAGACTTGAAAGACTTGGGTAAGCCAACAAGGTTTCTGTCGTCGACAAAGGGAAACTCACTACGTCAGCAAGGATGATGTATGAACTTGCCACTTACTGCCGGAGACATAATCAACAATGCCTGGCAAAAATTAGAGTGAATGACCCTCGTAGTTTAAATTTTAGGTGGAAAAATTAGTGGTTGAATGCATGTTGGTATAAACATCAGAGGTCCGCGGTTGTTCAACGTCCTCCCAGGGACTATAAGAAATATTGCCGGAACAACCGTAGACATCTTCAAGAGAAAACTAAACTGTTTAATAAAAAGTGCTGGACCAACCGGGCTGTGGTGGATATGTGGGGCCTGCGGGCCGCTCCAAGCAACAACCTGGTGGACCAAACTCTCAAAAGTCAAGCCTGGCCTCGGGCCGGGCTTGGGGAGTAGAACTCCCAGAACCCCATCAAGCCGGTATCAACCAGGTACCTACAGAACTTCTCTTGGAGTCACTTTGGCGTCGTAGTGGAGTCGTACCATTGTGTTGTGTATGCTTGTATTTGAAGTTTTCCTTCCATCAATTGCTAGTTACTAAGATAAACTTATACCTTCTACTAATATGTATTAGCCATGAATGTTTGAGTGAGAGTAGTAAAGATGAGTATATTTATTACATTTACTTGTGTAGACTATGCTACATTTTAATTTTCAATTGGAAATAAGTTCTTATTTCCAATTAGGAGGCAATACTTTAATGTTATAAACAAAATTCAGTTTACACGTAAAGATAAAGTAACCTTATGAGATGGGGAATTACTTTATCTTTGGTTGTATATTATCACAGGCAAGACCTTGGTAAGCCTCGGAGTTAAGGTGCGGGCTGAGCAAGCCAGTGGATTTTTATCCCATTAAGGAGTGTTATTTACTTCAGTGGTGTGACACAGAGGATGACTATCCTTAATTTAAGAGAAGTGGGATCCTGCCTTGACGCAGGGTGCAGTCGCACCTCCACAGATCTCCAGTATCATCTCTTGATACTGGTAATGGCTCAAAAGGGCCACCACTTACGGGCTATTCATGCCCATGCCACCTCTTGGGTGGCTTAATCTTTATCAATCAATCAATCAATCCTGCCTTCCCACCGGCCCCGTCCCTCTCACTGGGTGTCTAGTGTACCATTTCCGCCACTACTTTCATTCACCCATAACTACCTCTACGCTGGTCCTCGAAGATCCTTTTTGATGGAGTATTCCAGCACTGTCTATATTGGGGATCTTGCCCGAAACGCTGTGCGTATTAGTGGCTTTAGGCATTGTATGTACTAGCTCTTTTCTACATTCCCAACACTGTAGCTCGTATATACATTTCCCTGAATAAACATTTATTATACCCCCATTTAATGATAGGTTTACCCCTGGGCTTCTCTGGCATCAGGTAATTATTGTTGCTCCCTGCTCCTAGCCTCAATCTGCCTCCCAGCCCCAGGTATCCTACTACCAGGACCTCGATATTAATGATGGTCGTGTACTCTACAGCGGGCTGGTCTTGAGACAAGTCAGTCATCGTCGTCACCTACTGACCCTCATCTACGTCGGAGAGGTGTCCGACGATCTGAATGTCGACGGCCTCTCGCTCAGAGACTGCGAGCTAACCTCGGACCACACTGAGGTAGACCGCTTCTTGGACACCTTCGACGACGACGTAGAGACCGCCAAAAACACTCCTACCGGTATGTACCACATTTGATCAGTGTTAGAGTACACTTCTAAAATTACAATGTTTCCCTTTGAAACCCATGTAGTTACTTAACGTTTGGAGTTGTTGCTGAACGTTTGGGGTTACTTAACCTCCAAGTTGGATATTTCCTGAAATGTGTCGATGGTTCGGAACACAATTTAGATGATGTATGGTTATCCTTGCTCAGGGCGGTGGTCGGGGCGCCTCCACAACGTGACATTCGTGCACCTGGACAGTGAGAGTGAGCTGCCAGAATACCTGAGACCCATCACACACTTCAGGGACCTCAGGGCACAGGTAACGACAGCTTCTCACGCTTCCCTTCTCCTCTCTGCCACACTCTTTTTTTTATATTAATGTCTTGGCCAGTAAATGAATATCGAGCGATTTTCTTGGTAAATATTTGTTTAAGGATAAGAATGTAATCTATGAAGGTGATATTCATTGCCTTGATTGTGGTTTCATGTATAGTGCAAGACTCACCATCGTACCGTGAGGAAGGCGGTGAAGGCGCGGAGACGGTCCCAGAGGAGTCATCACAACAGCCAGACACAGTCCAGGTAAACTTGAATTGCCCTCGTCTATAACCAGTGCAACTTGAGCATTATCTCATGATATATAAATAAAATAGCATGGTTTGTTAAAACAAAAGCGAAAAATGCATTTGGAAAGTGCAGTACTGTTTTCTCTTAATCAGTATAAGTGTTCATTTTTGTGCATTTGCAACACTACTTCCCTCTGAAATGTTCTATTTGGCTACAGTCGTGTATGCTTTAGTACTGCACTGTTTCTTGAATCATGCCTATAATATAATTAATGTCTTAATATCATTCAAGAGTGTTAAATGCACGTAACCTAGTAATATATTATAGTCGACCACCATGACCTTTGTTCAGGTCATCGTGGTCGGCAGCCAGAACCCCTGTCCTTGGTCCTGTGTTGTACCACCATGGTGGTACAACACAGGACCTACCTGTACCCCCTGGTCCTGTGTTGTACCACCATGGTGGTACACAACACAGGACCTACCTCCCCCGCCCCTGGTCCTGTGTTGTACCACCATGGTGGTACAACACAGGACCTCCCCCTTTACCCCCCCCCCTCCCTGGTCCTGTGTTGTCCTACCGCTGCTTCCACGCCTGCTCACTCTCGCCTCGCAACTCCTCAAGTTTCTACTTCTCTAGAACTTGTCTGGCCACTTGAGATTCCGTCTTTTTGAGCTTGCACTTGAAGTTATCTGAGCTTGTACTTGAGGTTGTTTCTGAACTTGTTCTGGAAGGTTCTATCTTCGATCTTGCACTTTGAAGTTCCGTCTGTGGGCTTATTAGAGGTGGCGGCCAGGAAGGCTATATTAGGTTTGCGTAGTACATGCTGTATGCCAGCACAGGGTGGGGGTGGAGAGCTCCATCAACCAAGGTGTGTGTATACAGCCTAGGACTTCGGGTATTAAGGTTTCCATAGAAAATAAGGCACATTTTGTTGACATTTTAATCTGTTTTAGAAGTTGCATTCACTTATTTCCTATAACAAAAAAATTATATCTCGTGAATCAGAACTTGTGTGGCAAAGTTCAAAATTGTTTTTAGAACGTTATTATTATAAAATGCCTATACTCTCGCTTCAGTTTAAAATGTCAAGCGTTCCTAATTTTCTTAAATGTTGAAATGCCCAAAACATTCAGCAAATTGTTTCTTGTATTTATAGAGAATAGTATATATAGAGATTATATTTCACTGGCTTGCATGGCGTAGCCAGCATTAGGTACAAAATGTTATCCTAGTTCATAATCAATACCTTAGATTAAATACACACAAATTAGATTTGCAGCCTATAAACCATAAATTTAAATATTTAAAGTTTTAATTTTATATTTTTCAAATTATTTCTTAACTTATTTTTTTCTCTGTATTTCCTTGACTTTGCACGAAGTAGTTATGGTTGAAATGCAGGTCTAAAAGCCTCGCTATGGCTAGTTTCTGCTCCACTTAGATGATCTAATCATTCTATATTTGGTTCATTTTTTGATAATTTGTTGAATGCATTATCCTCAAGTGCGTAACCTATATGTAGTCGCTTATAATCATTGTTTGCCCATTTGTCTTGCTTTATTACTTAGTCACATGTAGATTGAATTGTAGTGATAAAAGGCTTCGCTATACTGAAACTAGTTTTGTCACATTAAGTGTTTAAAGCATTTACTGTAATTAGCACAGAGCATTGGTGTAGCCTGTAATGTATTTGTAGCTTATATAACCTGCACTGTAGTTTGCACAATATTTATGAAGCCTGTACTGTATTTGTAGAATGTTTATATAGCTTGACCTGTAATTGGCACGATGTATTGATGTATACTGTAGTTTGAGCATGAAGCCTGAGCTACAGGTAGCATAGTGGTGGCTACGCTGGTCGTCCTTACAGGGTCACGACCTACAGGGTCGTCCTGAAGGGTCGTCTCACGGCTCCCACTCCCACAACTGCCGCAGCAACCGGTTAGGAAGGTTAACGAACATTTTCAGCCGCGATAACGAACGGTTATCGGATTAATACCGATATTTGTTATAATTTAAATATCCCAATAGGTGCATTAGTTGATCGAAAGTATCGACAGTTTGTATCTCCAGTAAGATGCCTCTACCTTTGACTGTCTCGCTTAATACACATCTTTGATAAGCTGACTCCATAAAAATAACTCGACTTTTCTATTTTAATATCAAACTTCCACTTGTATATTTCACCTTCTCTTCGGGTTATCGGGATTCGGGTTAAATCCTCATCCTCATGGTAGCGGAGGCATGTGCAGTAGGGTGGCCCTGGCGTAGTAGGTGGATAGTCGGGGATTGGGATTGGGATGGGAGGGGGGGGGGAATAGGAGCCCATTAGGCAGCCCTGGTATTGAAGGGGGGGGGGGGTAAATGCCCATTCGGCAACCCTAGTGTTGGGCATTCGCCCCCACTCCCATTAGGTAGCCGACCCCCCCCCCCACGTCACTTCTGATAAAATCACCCTTAATGCAGCAAAGTTTAATGGTGTCTACCCTCCGTCCTCGCACATTCTCTTGTACATAAAGATATATTTGAATGGTCCCGCACGCAATGTTATCACTATAAACTGAGGGGGTAGAAATAGCCTAAGCTACTCTATCCCTTTGAGATGTATTTCTTTTTTGTCTCACTAAACATACTTGAACTATAAAGAATACCCCCCCCCCCCTATCAAGGATTCAAACCCGGGCTTCCAGGGTGTCGTCACTGGGTTTCCAGTATTGACACCACTCCTCCGGCGATGATGTAGGTTATCAGTACTGGACAACCAGTAGCGAGACCTTGGCTGCCCAAGTTCGAATCCCCGAAGGCTCATTGGTTTATAGTGGTGTTTTTATATAATATATATATATATATATATATATAATCACACATACAGGTGTGTTTACAGTCTGATACTTTTAAAGCATTTAACTTAGGTCTACCCAACCCATATCACTACCTTACACGAGACTATTCTCCTTACACATTTGGGTGAAACTATCCCATGCATCTGTCCTCCAACTGGACACGCACTCGTATGGTGTGTGTTTAACATTTGTCTGTAGAATCGAGCTATTAGCTCTTGGACCCCGCCTTTCTAACCCATCTGTATCTTATGTCTACTACATATATTTATCTAATACACACGCACACAATACCCAAGCAGCAGCCCGTAGCAGCTGTTTAACTCCCAGGTACCTATTTACTGCTAGGTGAACAGGTGCATCAAGGTGAAAGAAACTCTTGGCGTTTGTTTCCGCCTTCGCCGGAAATCGAACCCAGGCCATTAGGACTAGGACTCCCAGGCGCTATCTACTCAGCCGCGAGGCCCTTCCCTTCCTTCACCCGGGTGTGGGGGGGGGGGCGGGGATATATATTGCTAACATATATTGTGGATAACCATAACCAGCTCTTGATACTGGTAATGGCTCCAAAGGGCCACCACTTACGGGCTATTCATACCCGTGCCACCTTTTGGGTGGCTTAATCTTCATCAATCAATCTGTGGATAACAGCACTTCATTGACTTGGACCATCAGTCCTCCACCTGAGACCACAGTAGGCCACAGTCCTGCCAACTGAGCCACGAACACCCACAATAAGGAAGGACACCAGAGACCCAACTGGAACCTTAGGCCTTCCCCAAGGTTGCCAGTTTGGCCTGCATGTGTTCAGTGATCCACGCCCTAGTCATATAAATTGCTATCTACATATCGTAGATAACATTTCATTCACTTTGCCCACTGGAGCGGCGAACTGCTGCTTTGTGGTTCGTGGTCGCCCCCTCGTAGCTTTCCCCTCCTTTCCCCCTCATCTTCAGTCTACAACCTCCCCCCCCCCTTTCTCTCTCTCCCTTCTCTTAGAAAATGTATTAAAAGACTGAAACAATTGTAATCCCCCCCTCCCCCCTGCCCTTTGTCCTGCCCCCTCACTGTCCCCTCTCCCGCACCACCTTAGTCTCTTCCCCCCACTCCCCCTACCTTTTGTTCTGTACCTCTCCCCCGCTTTCCATTTTCTAGGAAAATAGGGTATATTGAGAAATTGCACAGTAAATGACGAGAGTAATCTTACAAACCACGGACGTCACATTCCCGATCCATTTCAGACATGATAATTTTAGATAATCGTTCGTGGGTGTTGGGTTGCATGATATATTTCTTAAAGCAGTTAACTTGAGCCTAACCCGACCCAGACTACCCTATATATTCATCCCTTACCTCGCACCATTATCGATACAAATTTGGATGAGGCTATCCCTAGGCGTCTGACCCTAATGTCTGACCAAAGTTTATCTCTCACACGGAAGTAATAAAAATATTATCAAATCTTTCTAATTTCTCTAGACCGATCTTATTGGCATCACTGAACCCTACAATACCCAATATTCATGACTGGATTTATGCCCCAGATGATGACGTTCGGCTGCAGATCTGTGGCGCACGTGATATATAATATTACCAGTCGCCATGCGATATCACGTTAAAACTATTATTTGCTCCGGGTTAATGTTAATGTATGAGGAATGTTGGCAACACAGCGTGTACTTCATTTAATTCGCTCTACCAATTTTGTTACTTTTCTATTTAAGTACAGCTTGGTGTTTCTGTAATTTATCTTTCGTTAGTTTACGAGGCCTCCAGTGGCGCTAACACAAGCCTTGCTTTATCCTAATGCGTTTCATTCTATTGGTTTGTAGTTAGGCTTGAGGCCTTTCAACCTCTGGAGGGATATTAAGGCACCGCAATAGGTGATGAACCTCCCAGCAAATATACTTTTTTCCCCTGAACATTTTCCAGAACAAGAGTAAACTTTCATCGTATACACACAAGTTGGGTACACCTCTCCTGTGACTCTACATTACTAGATTTGCTTAAATTTTTCTAATTCCTTACAGCCTAGCATCTGGAGACCTCTTTAGTGTCTGGGGTATCCCGGATAATCTCCGGTTAGGTTAGTGTTAATATTCCCACCTTGCAAAATACACCAACTTCATTACCATGCGCGGCAATGTTCACTCAACTGACATCGCTGTGAAGCATTAATGCTTTATGGAATTTTATTGAAGTAACGTTTTAAGTACATGGAAAGATTGAGTGTTAGCTACTCACCCCCCCCCCCTCACCACCTCTACCCTCAGCGTCTTGTAGATAAGTCGGTAATTTATATTATTAAAAATAATTTCGTTAAAAAAATTCTTTTTGAAAAAGACTTGTTTTTATACAACATCCAGCATTAAGGTGAGTAACCTTAAAGCCGTTAATACACTCCAGCATGTCAAGAGGTTGACATACTTACATAATTACTCATTCCTATGTTTATATACGAATTTAGGCTCGGAATTTCGAGGCTGTTAATGAAACTAATGCACGTATTGAGGGATTAAAAAGCTATTTTGGCGTTTCACAATTAAATTTTCAAAGGATAATTATAACATCTGTATAAACAGATTTTTATGCTCTCGCAGATCTTGCCTTAATGTGTAGATCTGAGTTACCATTGTTAGCCGCTAGAGTGAATTACGGTCAATGTTGCCGTGTAAAGTTGCTTGGCAGTTGTTAGTGGTTATGGGCAGTCCCGCTGAAAAGAAAATGCTGTTATATTCTGTCTAATGAGGGAAAAAATGCTGCTATATTGTCTAATGGGCTTTGGTGGACATTTATGTTGTGGATATGAAAATAATGAAGTAAGCAACTGCGCTGAAAAGTTGGGTGACGGTGGTGTTGACGCAGGCGGAAGCGATGGATTTTGAACGAGCTGCTGGTCCTGCCGGGGACCAAGTGGTGTGGCAACGACGATTTGGCAAAGTCCTACAATGACCTGGCTGGCTTCGTGGGTGCGGACGCCTGCTGCCGCAAGCATGACAGATGTCCCCTCAACATCGGCGGGTTGGAAGCCAAGTACGGTATCTACAACTCTCACCTCACTACAGCCTCCCACTGCCTCTGTGATGAAAGGTAAGTGCAGGATGGTTTCCTGGACGCTTGTGCTCTTCTACGGTCTGTGGACGTGATGCGCTCGACAGAAGGCGTCTCTTGTGAGGGTTGATAGTTTCTCTGTGGTCCTTAGTGATGTGGCAGTTGTCTGGTGGTGTTCGATGCGAGGTGAGGAATGTTGGTGTGTACCAGAGGGAGCGGTATGGACGTGGGTAAGTAGCTAGTGTATGTCTTGAACCCAGGTGGCGGCGGGCCGTGTTGGAACACCTGCGGTTCTTTCCCTCGACCAAGTGGTGTGGCGCCGGGTACAGAGCCTCGGTATACGGGGAGCTTGGTGGCTCCTCCGGGGCTGACAAGTGCTGTCGTCAGCATGATATGCACTGTCCCTATTATATCGGATCCTTCGAGACCAAGTATGACCTCATGAACTGGGCCATCGGCACTATCAACCACTGCGCCTGTGATGAGAGGTGAGTGTTACATATTATAGTCTTCAGAGAGAAGGTAAGACAATACTTGGTAAATGTTTCGCTGTATTTTCCCAATATTTATGACTTGGTGTGCAAAGTTCATCACCAGCACCTTCTAATACTGAATGTCTACAAGTCGACTTCCTTTTAGTGATTTAGTTCTAAGAGTATTTCTTAGTCTATAGACACAGTGGAAAGGTAGTTGGCACAACTGTTATGGCTTAAGTGTGCTGAACTTCTCTGGGTTCAGACAAAACGATGCGTTTATTTAAGTGGCAGAAGCCTCGCATTCAAAGTAGAAAGGTTTTGAAATATTTTTATAACTAGCCCAAAGTAATCTCGGGAAGTGGCAAGTTTGAAGCAAGGGTACGAGAAGGGTGGGTGTGGGGGTTGGCTGACGGGGAAGGAAAGGGTGAGCAAGTTGGGTTGGTAGGAGCAAGGAGGTTGTGAAAGTAGGAAGTGTGGGTTGTCTAGGTTAGTGTGCGCGCCACCCAGACCAGGGAGAGAGACTTTGAAATATGTCCAGACACCTGTCCAACAGAGGCTCAAGGTGACAACGGACTGTTGCCCCTGTATGACTAACCATACAGCAATGTGAAGTTTAGCATCACGTAGCTAACTGTTGGCACAGCCTCTATAACCCTTGACAGTTCAGGGTTGTTGTATAACTGATCCTAGACCTGTTGGTGTTAAACGATTAGTATATATTAATCTTAAAGTTTACCAGACAAGATCGTAATCATTTTGTATTCTAAACTTTGGTGGAATGGTTTAGTGTGTGGCCATTCCAACATGTTCAGGTGGAGGGGTGAGTGGAGGTGTTGCCAAGGTCACCGTGCCGGCACGTCTGGGAGCCGGCTCCCACACTCCGGCTCCTGTCATTAGCAAACGTTAACACGCGGACCAAAGATTTTTATTAATTTATAATTGTTCACTTAGCATATTCCTCCATTTTTTGGGTCGGTGATTCGTTCATGGATTATTTTGTAGCCGTTATTATGTATAATACTGTATACTTAATACAGGGTATAATATTGTTAATGGGTTGTGTGTCAACTGCGGTGGTGGTGGTGGCCGGGCCGGCGCCCCCGCCACCAACAGCTAAGCTTATCACAGCACCACCACCATGTGAAGGGTTAAAACTGCCTGCTCAGGCAACGGTGTTGGGTGAGGTTGGACTATAAAGCCACACACACGGTAGCGAGTGTGACGGGTGTGCACAGCTGCCTCTCTAACCCAGGATGAAAGTAGGAAGATCGGCCCCGGAGGTCGACGCCCACTTCCCCGGCAGAGATCACCTTGAGGGAAAACGTTCACCTGATGCCAACCTCTCGCATGGAAGACGTTCTTATCTATAGTTAAGAATTTGTATTGCCAAGAAATGGCATGGCTATAGGTGTGTAGGATCACTTGTAATTGCGGTATATAATAAACAAAAATGCCTAGACAATTGGTACAGAGTTTCTCCATTTAAACACAGCACACGGTATGTGGTGGCAAGTTGCCACCACACCTGGCGAGATGGTGGCGTGATGTGAGGGGGGGGGGGGGAGGGTTGTGCTCACCTAGTTGTGCTTGCGGGGGCTGAGCTTTGGCTCTTTGGTCCCGCCTCTCAACTGTCAATCAACTGGTGTACAGATTTCTGAGCCTACTGGGCTCTATCATATCTACACTTGAAACTGTGTATGGAGTCAGCCTCCACCACATCACTGCCTAATGCATTCCACCTGTCAACTACTGACAGTGAAAAAGTTGTTTCTAATGTGTTTGTGGCTCATTTGGGTACTCGATTTTACCTGTGTCCCCTTGTTCGTGTTCTACCCATCCTAAATAGTTTGTCTACCCTGTCAATTTCGCTGGGAATTTTGTAGGTGGTTATCATGTCTTTACTCTGTCTTCCAGGGACGTGAGGTTTAGCTCACTTAGCCTTTCCTCGTAACTCATTCCTCTGTTCTGGGACCAGTCTGGTGGCATACCTCTGAATCTTCTTTAACTTTGTCTTGTGTTTAACTAGAGTATGGACTCCAGGCAGGAGCTGTATACTCCAGGATTGGTCTGACATAGTAGACAAGATTTTGAACGATACCCTACTTGAAGTTTCTAAACGCGGTTCTGATGATGGCCAATCTAGCATATGCCGCTGATGATATCATTTTTGATGTGGGCCTCTGGAGACAGCTTCGGTGTGATGTTAGATCTAGCTGACATCTCGCTCGATGTCAGTGAGAGGGTGGAGCCCCAACACGGGAGGGAGAGGGGGGTGGAGCCCCAACACGGGAGGGAGAGGGGGGTGGAGCCCCAACACGGGAGGGAGCGGGGGGTTGAGCCCCCAAACACGGGGGGAAGGGGGCTGGAGCCCCCAAACAGTATTATCTACATCCGTCCAATGTTCCCCGGACACAGATATGCGGAGCTGAGGTCAGGCCGGCCACTCTGGCTAATTATAACCCGCTTTTTTGTGAAAGGCTAATTAAATTGCTTCTTATTTACTCTTGGTTTATTAGTTTGTTTCCAGATTAGACTTAATTGTTGGCTTCGTGTTTTTCTTTTAGCAAACTTTACTCTAGAAATGTAGGCGCAAAAATGTTTGGAAACTATTCGTATCCGTGAGAGTCAAATAGTGTGATGGCGCGCCTGCTGCACCTCGTCCATGTAGATTGGGTTAGCTGGCAGCGGCCGGCGTCAGCCCTCATTACCGAATATTCATACATGGTGGTGTCGGGAGAGGAGCCTGGGGCCCCTTGCACGCGCGTGTGCACTAGTATAGCTCCACCTGCACGCACGTGTACACCCATATACACCATCTTGCGGCCCCACCCCCCTTACATACACACACACACACCAGTTGATTGATGGTTGAGAGGCGGGACCAAAGAGCCAAAACTCAACCCTGCAAGCACAAATAGGCGAGTACACACAACACGCGCACACACACATAAGGGGCCTCGCGGCTGAGTAGACAGCGCTCAGGAGTCATAGTCCTAATGGCCCGGGTTCGATTCCCGGCGGAGGCGGAAACAAATGGAGTTTCTTTCACCCTGATGCGTCTGTTCACCAACCAGTAAAAAGGTACCTAGGAGTTGTAGACGAATGCTACGGGCTGCTTCCAGGGGATGGGTGCGTGCGCGTTGAGAAATATATGTAGTAGACATAAGAGGGAAAAATGTTCAGAAAGGCGGGATCCAAGAGCTAATAGCTCGATTCTACATCTCGATATAAGCCTAACGTGTACATGTACAACAGTTGCCATACAAGTCCACTACGGGTTCGCCATAGCCCGTGCTACTTGGAACTTGTTGTTCCCAGTAGGTGAATCTAAGAGGGAAGCCAAGAGACAGTGGAGCGCTGTAGAGTACTTGCGTCTGGTGTGTGGGGGAAGTGTGCGCGTGTTGTATGGAGAAAATAGCCCAGAGTGCGGTAATAGATCCACATCTCGTACACAACTATTTTAAATTTTACATTTACGAGCATTTCAAAACAACTTTCTTTAGAAATACGAATATGCAACGTTTGTGTTTGCAATATCACTTGATAATCTATATGATAATGTTTCATCCCTGAACAGTATTAAGATAAAACAATTATCTTCCGCTGAACTTATGACTTGGTCATACAAAAAATATGAATCCCGGAACAATAATAGCCAGTAAACCCTGAATAATTTTGTTCATGTCGTGTAGTGTAGTAGATATGTGTTCATGTGGGGTAGTGTAGTAGATATGTGTTCATGTCGCGTAATGTAGTAGATATGAAGGCTTGAGTATTTTTAGTGTTTACATTGGTCTGGCCCAAGCAGCTCATTTCACGGAAGCTTGATTGAATCTCGCTGATTACACGTATCCGGACAAAACAGTTATATTTGCCTGACAAATTACATAGTTGAAGGCAGTGTTCGTGTGGCAACGTTGTATTTTTTACCAGCTGGCTACTCAAAGCGAAAGAGCTTTTTTTCCTTCTTTTTAAGGTGGAGAGCCGCAGGTCCCAGTAAGACCTGGTGGTGCGGCAGGAGGCGTATGCCCCGCGCCGCCGCCTCATTGGTTCCCTGCTCGCCTCCGCCGCTCTTACTGGCTCTCGCCTCACACACCCATCCTGAAATCCTCGTGATTGGCTCCGGAGATTGTCTGAAGGATTGCTCTGCGATTGGTTGGGAAAGCTACCGCCAATTTAAACTTGGCATGTCATTGGTAGATGGAAGGTGGTACGATACTGAGAGAGGTTTGGCGCCAGGATCAGGTTGTGTACGTTACGGTATCTTGTCGACCAGCCAAGACCTGTGTACGAGCCAAGACTTGTGTACACACTTTTGTTTCCCATAATTAGCAGCGCGCGCTCCATCAACTCTTCCCTCCACACACACGTCTGATAACGTTCGCTTGTCAATATATAGATAAGAATAAGATGGACAAGCAGAAATGAACGGGTACTAAAATTTACAAATTCTGCCTGCTGTGTTTCCCCCATTAGTTTGGTAATATTGATCGCTCGACTCTTTTAATATCTTTTTGAGTACCCCAAATAGCTCCCCCTCCCTCGTGAATTCCTCCTCATTAACTGCCTAAGGGGTCCAGACTCCTCACAACCTCCCCCTCTCCTTAGTGCCCAAACTTTTCCGTCTTCACACTAAATACTTCCATTCTTTTTTCCAACACACTTATCAGGTTTATGTAAATTTCTCTTTACTTTCTTTAATACCGAGTTCTCATTTACTTTTAGCTAACATTTTCTTCGCGTAAAAAATAGTTTCCCGGAGTTGTGCACATTACCCGTCGTCCACAAGTTAGTACTAATAAATCTTGGGGTGACGCGTCAAGGAGAAGGGCCTCTGGTCTGGCCTTTCTCAGAGGATTGGCCCGAGAAATATGTACTTTTTTTTTTACATAAACTTGTTCCATAGTTAGACACTAAAGACTGATTCAATACGGCGGACAGTACGTGTAGTTGGCATAAATATTAGTGCACGAGTAGACTTGGGGAAATTAAACAAACAGCTCGGGGCTTAA